CCCCCCCTCCCCTCCCCTCATCCTTCCCGCCCGGGGGCGCTCGGCACCGGGCCCGGGGGTACGCGCCGTCCCTCCGCCGCCCCCGTTAATCCCCCCCCTTCCCCACACCGATTACCTCAGTGGGACACACGGACACGACACCGGGGACAGGCCCGCGGTGGGGCGGAGCGGGGCACCGGGAGCGCATTCAACCTTCCCGGCCGGCCCGGGCGGGGGCGCCACCGCGCCGCGCACAGCCGGGACCGGGGCGGCTGGGGGCACGGCCCGGGTGGAATGATTTTGAGGGAAGTTTTGGGTTTGTTGGTGGGATTTTTGTTGGGTTTTTTTAATTCTTCTTTTTCGTCCTCCTCCCCTTCTCCTGACCCCCCTCGCCCCTTTCCGCCCCAGGGCGCTGGGACCCGGGCTCAGCTCCCCGGCCCCGCCGTCTCCCTGTCCCTCCTTTTGGGTGGGAAGTCGCCGTTTTAAGCACTTTTCCTAGGAACTGTTCTATATTCCTGTTCATGGCAGTGTGGCACGTAGGTGCTTCTGAAAGTCGGAGGTCCCAGTTGGGAGTTGGGATGTGGGGAGAAGGGAAAGTCTTAAGAACAAAACCCAGCTGTTTCTTTCCTTAAAAAAAACCAACCCTAAAATCATGTTTTACTTGGTATTGGTTGGGGGCTGAGCTGCTGGGGAGCAGTGCTCAGGAGAAAGACCTAGGAGTCCTGGTGGACAATAGGATGACCATGAGCCAGCAATGTGCCTTCGTGGCCAAGAATGATGGGGTTGGAAGGGACCTCTGGAGATCATCTAGTCCAACCCCCTGCCAAAGCAGGGCCACCCAGAGCAGGTTGCACAGGAACGTGTCCAGATGGGTTTGAATGTCTCCAGAGAAGGAGACTCCGCCACCTCCCTGGGCAGCCTCTTCCAGGGCTCTGCCACCCTTAAAGGAAAGAGGTTCTTCCTCATGTTTAGGTGGAACTACTTATGTTCAAGTTTGTGCCCATTGCCTCTTGTCCTATCCCTGGGCACCACTGAAAAAAGACCGGCCCTGTCCTCTTGACACTCACCCTTTAAGTATTTATAAGCATTGATCAGATCCCCCCTCAGCCTTCTCTTCTCCAGACTAAAAAGCCCCAAGTCCCTCAGCCTCTCCTCATAAGGGAGATGCTCTAGGCCCCTCATCATCTCTGTAGCCCTCTGATGGACCCCCTCCAGCAGTTCCCTGTCCTTCTGGAACTGGGGAGCCCAGAACTGGACCCAGTGCTCCAGATGGGGCCTCCCCAGGGCAGAGCAGATGACCTCTCTCCACCTGCTGGTCACCCTCTACCTGATGCCCCCCAGGATGCCCTTGGCCTTCTTGGCCACAAGGGCACATTTCTGGCTCGTGGTCATCCTATTGTCCACCAGGACTCCCAGGTCTTTCTCCTCCGAGCTGCTCTCCAGCAGGTCAGCCCCCAACCTGTCCTGGTGCAGGGAGTTATTTCTCCCTGGGCGCAGCACCCTGCACTTGCCTTTGTTGAAGTTCATCAGGTTCCTCTCTGCCCAGCTCTCTAGCCTGTCCAGGTCTCACTGTATGGTGGGACAGCCTTCTGGTGTGTCAACCACCCCTCCCAGTTTTGTATCGTCAGCAAACTGGCTGAGGGTACACTCCATGCCTTCATCTAGGTCATTGATGAATATATTAAAGAGGACTGGACCCCGGGGAACACCACTTGTTATGGACCTTTTGTTAAGTACAGTTTTATAGAATCATACTTGAAAATACAGAATGACTGCCCTTATGAGTTGTGAGGATCAGTAACTCTCTCCTACACCTTTGATTTTTTGGGTTGTGTTTAGGAGGTGACCGCA